GATGAGGCAAAATATCAACTGGTTATCTCCGCCACAGCCCAGCCACAGCCATTGCACCCGGATGTGATTGTTAGAGTGCTGCGATGACTGCTAGCGCTCGTCTACACGCTGGGTGGTGCAGCGAGGTACGGTTTCTAGTTTGAGTTATCGGCCCGCATACGACTCGGACTTGACAGGCGGTCCGAAAAGCAAGGCAGTAGAGATTTACCGCGAGGAACGGGAGCAGGGTTAGGCTTGAGAGCCTTGGTGTATAAAATGAAAGGTCCACGATGAAGAGATGAATCTGTAAAGAAGATTTCGCCACTAGGATGCACCTTGACGTCGTTCAGAGAGTTGAACTGGCGACCAAAGAAGTTGTCGAGCAGGACGGTGACATTGTACGGCGGGTACGGGTTGATGGCGACCATGTTCGCAGGGAGCTCTCCCCGGCCTTGGTTCATGATGAGGAGGTTGCCCTTGTACGGGCCTGTGCCGCCGTTTGTCATCTGGACCGCGTCGTCCAATTCCAACTGCTGGAGATGAATATACCAGGATCATGACAGAGAACGCGACGCTTACAGAAGTAACTGTGACATTGATAGACCCCGTCCCATTACGAATCGCTGCCGCAACTTCCTGAAGAGAAATCTTGCCCATTTGGTTGTTTTGGTCGAGTCCGCTATGTCCCAAGTGCCCTGCAGCGTTGCTCGTGAAGAACACCTCGTCTGAGTCTGGGACCCATACTGGCGCTTCGTGGGCGAACGCAAAGTCAGGGTTACTCGCAATCACTCGTAACGAGGGCTCGCTTCCAAGGATATTGAGGAAGTCGGGATCAAAGATTTGGAATATAGGCGCTGAGGAATCTGATGGGTCGAACGTCATCGAAGAGTTCACGCGCCAGTCGTATGAGGAGCCTAGGACAGCAAAGGATGAAGGCTGAATGTACTGGAAATATGCCTTATTAACCGACTTTGATTCATGGAATTGTTTACAACGTACCACGGACTGAGCTGGGAGAGACACATCTTGCGAAACCACACCAGCCACAAGGGAGAGGACAGCTACTGTCAAAGACATCAGAGTCAGAGAAAGAGGCGACATCTGGTGGAAGCCATGCATCGCGCTTTATACCACACAGGGCCGGTTTTAAGCCTGGTCATGATGATGAAAGAGGCGGTTACATGGCTACCCTATATTGTTCCTCCCCAGAGTGCGTGTTCCGGGGAAGGCCACGGGATCGCAACGGATGCAAATGGGGGACACTTGCGGGAGGGAAAACGTGCATCGACATCGGATTGGCCGCGATCAATTCCCAAGAGCCTCGCCCGTGGCTCTCCAGAGATAGCGGTGGACGCGACAATGTACCCCTTCATTGGGCTGGCTCAGAAATCTGGGGCGCGGGGTGTGGAGAAGGAATTTGTCGAATGGCCACATACAACTCCGGTACGTGGTCACCAGACGTTGGCGTATGGACGATTATTACAGTATCGCTGTTAGGAATCTAGTTATGCTCGTCAAGACAAAACGCACTTCCCAAAAGGACCGCATTTACTTCTGGCAATGGCGGGCATGATTCTCCGTGCATGAATTCGTTCGCTGACGATTGTTGCTCCTCCGTGAACGTCACTTTGTCCCATGTCAATCAGGATATTGAGGGACGAGAGGCGAGAACAAGGATATGAATAGAACCATGCCTGACCGGTGGATTCCCAAATCCTGGAGTGGTGGACATGCCAGCAGTCGGAGTGTTGAAATGTTCCTTTCCCGAGCGAGAAAAGGGGGAGCGTAATGCGTAGATTCACATTCTGTTATAAGCATGCATTGTGTACTTACAACAGCATCGAAAAAGCAGGTCAGTCGACATAATAATGACACATCTATATAGATACCGTCTAGCAGAAGACGAAATGGCCGTAATCTGGAATACAGCTCTGCTTCCACGCAAGATATCTAGACCGCAGGGGAATCAGTCGAAAGCGTAGTCCCGGTGAGATTACGCACCCCAAGCTCCTTCAGTCCCAGGACCCCGTCAGGCCAAAAATGTCTTGAGCCGTGCCTTGCTCTCGACCTTCTCACTAACGTCCTCGATAGCTCCGTGCCGCTGGCCAGAAACAATCGATTTCCAAGTAGTCCTAGTAGTAACGGTAGACCGGGATTCGAGCGCAGGTCGTACGCGCAATAACATTCGCATGATATCGTCCGCAAGCTTGAGGATGCTCCTTAGTTGGCGGGGAGGGTACGTGAATCGCAGACAAAAAGGTGATGGTTGGGGGAAGAAAGGCGCGGTTTCCACTTTAGGCTAGCACGAATTGGGTCTAGACTTCGATCGTTTACCATGACTTGAGCGCCATCTCGACGCGACAGGGATGTCCAAGCGATTCCTGGCATCGCCGAAAACAACCGTGTATGCTTGGTCTGCTGATTATTCAATTTGTTTACAACTTACTCTTCATTGAATCAGCAAGCCTTTTAGGCGAGCAAATGAGAAACCGTGTTACTATACCCTGTTCGCCAAGTTCAACCTTCTTGAACATTGGGTCACTCGAAATCCCAAGTACCTCTGCGCCTAACGAGAAACATGCACGTTCGTAGCGTCAGCCTGATGTTGTTTTCCCGGCTTAAAGCACCGGAACCACGCCCAAACACTGGGACTTCTTCAGCTGCCTAGCGTATCCCAGAAAAATCGGAAGAATGTCGTACTTACAGGCGGATATCAAAAGTATCCCAACGGGTTTCTCGCGCCCGGCCTTCAGTTATATTGCGACAGCCTGTGGAACTCCCATGGGACTATCAAAAAATCAAAGCTATACGTATACTCACTCAACGGTCGAGTCCAGGCCTTGTCCCTGGGTCAAGGATGTCGCAGGTGGAGTGGGACCATTGCAGTGATACGTAGAACAGCACGTCAATCAATCCCATGAATCAAACCCTTCAATCAATTCTCCACACCACAGCACGCCAATTCTCAGTACAAGATCGCGAGCATTAGGCCCCGCGAGGTCGTGTGAGCGCAGTTACCTGGACGCTTGCGACTCGGATCCCCGCATCCCAAGCTGAATGGCCCTCGCAAATTCTCTCGTTATCCAGAGTCCTGTGATCAAAATTAGATGGAATCCTTCTCGAACGATGCGTCATTGTTCGGCGATTCGGGACGTCCCCGAGTCATAGGTCGATTACGACCACTCAGATCCAGGGTTAGTTGGATCATTGATGGGAAAATGATGTCACGGCGGGAACCTGACTCGAAATGGAAGTCCCCGAGCACGAATTCTTCCGAAATTGGCCAAGTCGCACTGCCGAGGTGGGGGGTTGTAGTATTTCACTCACAATTGTCATCCTTTAGAGAGCTATTGTACCTAGATACCTACTTTTCCTGTTATGTATTATTCAGTGATGCTTAAAGAGTGATTTTGGGATCATGCCGACACAGAATGTTCTCTGTAGGGCAAAATTACAATGTGTTCACCTGAGTGCGCCACAAATGGACTCATGGTGACCTCCACACATACTTAATCAACACATTTAGGGGAGGATCTGGTTCAACTATGACTTAACTTTCAATGCTCTTAGAAATTTTCTCAAATAACAGTGGTAGGACTACTTTACAGTGTAAATAAGGAGGATATGTGCCCAGAAGGCGGTTCCCCAAATGGGGTGTACCCAAAAAAGGTGACCCCCGCCATCAGTGATCGGGGTAACCCTGCCGGGCCCGAGATCCGAGTGGTCGTAATCGACCGGTCCCCCGGACGTCCCCCGGACGTTTGGCAGGCGGCGAAAACGGAGAGAGCAATGCTTCGCGGGTGTCTGTTTGCCGAAACATCGATGTGATGAGGCAAAATATCAACTGGTTATCTCCGCCACGTCCATTGCACCCGGATGTGATTGTTAGAGTGTTGCGATGACTGCTAGCGCTCGTCTACACGCTGGGTGGTCCAGCGAGGTACGGTTTCTGGTTTAAGTTATCGGCCCGCATACGACTCGGACTAGGAAGGCGGTCCGAAAAGCAAGGCAGTAGAGATTTACCGCGAGGAACGGGAGCAGGGTTAGGCTTGAGAGCCTTGCTGTATAAAATGAAAGGTCCACGATGAAGAGATGAGTCTGATTACTTCACTTCCATGCAGACTATGAAGGCGTTTACTCTATTAGAGCTTTGATTAATAGCGCGTTTACCATTTACTTACCTTTGCCACAAGCCCCGAGACAGCATTCAGTAGTAAAAAAACCCGATTACTAGCGTGGGCTTATGCGTTTGCCGTAAAGGCTTCATCAGAGGGTGCACCAATCGGAGACGCACGCCACCGCGAGAAAGAAACGCAGGACTAGACGAGGGGGCGGCTCCTCTGGGGCTACTCGGAGGCAGACGAAGGACTTCGTGGGACGGTTACCATAGACAAGAGAGGACGTACACATTAATTCGCATTCGCGGAGGAAAGAAGCCATCCGATAGAAATGGACAAAGATAGGCCAGTCTCGAGCCAAGAAAGTTGTACGGAATGTGCCGCAAGGGACAGCCCCAGTATGAACGCGAAGGCAGTACGAGTGACGGTACTCTAATAACACAGACACGTACAAAGTGTTCCAATGAATCTAGACTCCGGCGGCATAGTTCGAAGCCAATGAGATGCAAGCCTGATGCAAGCAGCCGTAACGACTCCCGCGTTGTGAGCGTTCAATCAGAAAGAAGCTCTGAGGCGTCGGCTGATAATTAAGAGTCCAAGCTCAGGTTTCGTTGTGCTTAAGCGCGTTCGACCAGGCGATCCCACGACCATCAGAATCGCGATGCAGACATGTCAACAGTATGTAGGGTCGTTTGGCGTATTGGATGTCCGCTGATGAACGTCGGCTCCGAGTTGTGAGTAGGACCCGTGAAGCGCCCGAGTCGGATTGCCACAGGAGTTGGGAGGAATCGAATGTGGCGCAATGTGGCTTTGCGATCGTTGACAAGGAGAGAAGACGACGATGATTATCAGGGCTGGAACGGAACAACACGGACCAATCGGAATGTACCAGGCAATCAAACATCTCTGATAGTATATCGGTTAGTACACGCGCCTGTCAAACTTTGCGGTGGTGCGCGCGAAAGCTGGGTTCGACTCCCAGTCAGAGAGTCAGTACCGCCTCAGAAATACCTTTTGGTTCGTGCCGTATTGTTGTGCTTGGCCTCACGTACACCTTTCTTACTCTGGCTTTGTAGAAACGCACGTAACCTTGCTTTGACCCCGTTTCGTAGCCGACGACGCGTTGTTTGTTCGGTTGATTCATACATATGGGAATACGCCGTAACTATATACAACTTACTGTAATGCCGACGGGGGTGCGTACATATGGGTCGCATACGTACGTGGAAAGTTGATCGCCGTCGAGCGGCGTCCATCGCAGAAGTAGAGGATGGCGTTGTTGGTGTGGTTGTGCGACTGGCGCTGAGTTGGAACCGGAAGAATAGACTGTCACGAGTGGAATTCAAGTGATTATGGCAAGGTGAGATGGCTATGTATAGAAGCTGGTTGTGCGCCTTACGTAGACGGGTGACAGATTTGGTAAGGCGGGGATCACAAGAGACGAACGGGGCCTTGATCGGGGGGTCTGAGTTGCCTGATTGGGATGCGAGCAGTGAGATCAGCTCGATGCAGCGGCGTCCAAGAACGAGCGGGTGGCTGGAGACGATGACGGCGAGTGGGCGGCTGGGAGAGGTAGGGGGCGAGCACGGCGCACAGTCAATAGACCAGGCGACCAGGCGAGCGGTGGCTTTAATTTCCGTCCGGGGACGGTCAATCAGACACGCGGAGTTGGCCGAAAAGCAAGCGGTCCTGGGGTGAATCAACATCGGAGTTTACACACGCCATTGCTCGAAGGGTTCTTTAGATAAACGTTCCAACGACCAACTATGCTTCCCCGCCAGGTCCTGCCACCCAACCATGCTCCTCTCCCTCCCGCAAGAGCTGGTCGAAAATGTTTTATTCCACTACGCCTGCGCCGACGACAACGGCAGAACGTGCTCGCTGCGGCCTCTCGAGCTCACATGCAGGGCCCTGCGTCGAGTGATCTTGCTCTCGAATGACCTCGCCGCTCGCGTTTTCCGTGCAAAATTTGCGACCAGCCGCCATGCGGGGATGGAGAGACTGACAGCGGCCGAGTGGAGATACCAGCTCGCCCTGTATGAGGGCGCGCTCGCATGCGTACAGAGACGCCCGGTCATCGACGGAAACAGTTCACACAGCCAGAATATGGTCGGGGAAACAATGTCCTTCGAGGAATTGCTGTGGAAGCTGTACGTGATGTGCCACGACGACGACGAGAGCGGCGCAAACAGACTCCAGCTCAACAGCGTCGGGACCTACGACTGGATCCAGGATCTGATACTGAATCGCCTCAACGACCACTCCGTCAACGGCTGGCCTGCAGACAATACCACCAACACCCTCTTGTTGTGGATATTTTGGTTTTTGACCACAAAAGGTGCGCGATCGAGTCCTATAAATGTGTGGCATACTCATTATCCTCCAGAACGCATACACTTGGAACCACCCAACATCAGCGACGCCATCGTCAAGCTGATCCTCCCTTTTGTCGTCGGTCATTTTCGATACGCGACAGCCTGGGCGCCGCCCAACCATTTCTACCTCCCGCTCTCTTCCCAAGTTGTTCTCTCACGTCGTCGATTGAACCAAATCCATTACCTTTCCGTCGACACACCCCACGGCTCCTTCCCAAAATACCGACAGAATCTCTCAAAGTGGAATCACGTCTTCTTCGGTCGCCGTATGAACCTGACGGAACCGCTCATTACCATCGCCGCCAAGTTGTGCTACTTTGTACGCAGAGAGTGCTTCGCTTACAGGATTCCCACCGATCTTCCACCGACGCGCGCACAAGCAGGACCTAACGTCGGTCCAACACATGACGACATTCACGAACTCAATCGCCATCTACTTGGCGGACCAGCTGGACGAGGCGGTGGAACAAGAATCGGCTGTAGTTTCAGTCGCGCAGAGTGGGAGCGTCTCCGCAACTGCGGCGACCCATGGCAAGGCGCCCCTCATACGAATATCTACACACCTGGAACCATGTCGGGTCTCTGGGTAGGGAGAATGAGTGTAGGTGCACTTGCTCCTCAACGACTTGTTTTTTAACATTCCTCAGATTCCCGTTGAACCGCGCCTGGCTGAGATACTTTCCACGCCGGAATTAAATCCCGCCATGAGCGAGATGTTCCTCGGCATGATCACCGCCCCGATGTACATGCGCATCGAAGAGCTCGTGTCTCGTTGTGGCGCGCCTGTCCTCCCATGCACGACACGCTCGGCACCAGTCATAGATACGGACGGCGACGAGGACGAGGATATGTCCGACTCGACATCGCTTTCCCCCGAAGAGTCTGCCGAACTCAACCAAAGGTTGCGTTCCACCTTTGACGACGGCATGTTCAACGCCTTTCTTCCCAATGGTTTCATGTTCCGCGACCGGCGTGACGGGGTACACATCGACGCCCCAAGCCTCAAGGAGCCGTATACCTATCAGCGGCTTCCGGTCGCGCATGACTCCGAGACGTGCCTGGGGTGTGTGGCGCGTGAAGAAGAAACCACTAGGCGTATGATGGACGGTTCCCTCGAAGGTGACGGGGACGATCTCTGTCGTGAAGTGCTTCCGCCTTGCACAGGCGTTCAAGACGTCGTGCTGCGCGGAACCACGGACAGTCGCCATGCTCAGGCCTGGAACGATTACACTTACTACGGGAGGGTACGGCAGTGGGATGGCATGATCACGCTGATGCGCATTGGAGGCCCAACGAGTTTGTTTCTGTATGGATATATTACCGGTGATGGACGAGGACTTGTAGGGAACTGGAGGATCGGCACCGGCGAAGTGGGGTTACCGTCGTACGAGGGTGCGTTTACGATGGGCCGCGTGGACGAGACGCCCGTAGCATGAAAACACGACTATACTCGGACGTGGTACGCATTATTGGACAGGTACATTCTACATGCCATTCATCTATCTATATTATTTATGCAGTACGGCGAGGGAGGGGGAATGTTTTGTAGTTCACTTGTACCACTATGCTCATTTATTTATCTATCTGCTTGTATCGCATCTTTGTACAGTAGCTATTTCTTGCTCGCAATAGAGTCTGCGTTCTCCTCGTGCCACGGGGTAGGGCACCAAGGCAGCGCGTGGGTTCATACAAATGGGCATGGGACATTGCGTCCGTACAGATAGACGTAATAGAGGGTGGGTGGACGTGGGGGCAATTGCTCGAGACTCACCCAGCCTCCAGTCTCCCGGAGATGGAGACATTGCGAAGAAGGTTCAAGGGGAGCGACTGTGCGTGAAATCGTGGATCAGGACCCCAATAGTACTATGAAAGGTCGTCCTGCGCGTTAGGACAAAAACTGGCCAAAACTTGTCAAATCTCTGCCTGGAGTGGGGCATGGCGGCCCAGAGGGCCCGCAGGCGGAAATTTTTGACAAATCGTGGCCAGGCCGACCCAAAAATTCGGACAAAAACTGCCTCTGAGACAAGGCAGGCCAGAAATTGCGACAAAAATCGAGCTTGAGAGCCGAAAATCTGAAGTGGGCAAATCAGGACGAGATTTGGCGGCACTATAACTATTGGGGGTCCTCGTGGATCTTGATGACATGAAGGGGTTTGGTAACGCGACTGATAACCATGACAGTCTAGATTTGTGAAGGCGAGCTTCTACCATGCATGAAGGACACTTTGTGTAATGTGGCGGTGGAAGGCGTGGTGGCGACACTAATATGAATACGTTAAAACAGATGCAGCAAAGAATAAAATCAAGGGCGCGGTAATCTACCTCCGAGATTGAATGCTACCAGTTCCCATTCAGGTTTCAAACTCGCCGTGGCGTATAAATAGAGCCGCGACACTTGGGATGTCGCGAAGTCGTGCCATCTCGTTCTATCACCGTTCAATTCACGCCAAGAAGAAGAAGATCCGCTTCTTGGTATCCGAGGTATCCGAAGAGGCGATCCGCCTCCCGCCATCGAGACAATCGTGTCTTTGAGGATACGCTTCGCCACTCGACTTCTCCTCGTCATCGTGAGCCTAGTAGGGCATGTCTCTTCTGTTCATACTCAGTAGAACGCACAAGGTATGAACGGTTTCTCATGTCGAGGCCAACTTAGACTGACCTAAAAGAGCTGCAATTAAATAAGTGAACATGAAACTGTGTCCCACCGGATGATGAAGGAAAGATCCACCCACCTGTTCTTGCTAGGTTTAGCGACTTGGGGCCAGTAAAGTTCGGCGTTTGCGTTGTTGCCCCATACTGCTAACAGGAGCGCGTGTTTCGTGGCACGTTGTCCACCTGGCAAAGTGATTGGCTAGAAAGAGAAAGAGGGTGATGTCCCATTGATAACAAGATCGAAGGTCTCGCTGTATCTATATCTGACCAAGTCAATGTATGCAGTGATCAAGTAACTGTAAGTCTTGACAGAGGTGGCTATAACAAATACTTATGAGCGTTAAACCCCCGAATGGACGAACGAAAATTGTACCCGACGTCTGTAGATACGCGGCCCACTTTGAGCACTTCGAGGTCAAATCGACTTCTATTCTGCGGGCTGCTGCCCACCAGTGGTCGGTGCGTATGTTGGCGGTAGTATCGACGATAGCGTCTCAGTTAGGGTATCAGTGTGGCGGTCGCGTCGCATGGGTTGTGATACTCACCGTAGACGTAATTGTGTCGATTCCTCGGGAACGTGCATGTCTTGAGACAGACCGAGAAAGACGAGAGCTGGAAGGGTGCCGCCCCACTGGTCGGTGCGCTTGTTGGCGGTACTATCCAAGAATTGAGAGAGTAAGTAGCCGTTGGCGCCAGCGAGTTTTGGGATAATAGCATACACACCCTCAACGCCGTCGAATCCGGCCGCCTTGGCATTTTCTGCGGCGCGTCTCCATGCTGGAAGGAGCTGGCTGGGTCGTCGATCGCAGTTGGGGTAACGTAACCTGGAGAGCCGGGGAGGAATCTGAACTTTCCACCTCTAGCGGCGATAGAACTTGGCCCGTAGACGGGCTACAGTTGGTATAAGTGTATTACGCGCATATATGCGATGTATTGCCGTACCTCATTCGCTTTGATTTGTTC